GCTGCTCCTCCCTGCCGGGGGAGCGGGCGGCAGCAGGGCCTGGTGCCGCGTCCGGGGAGTTGCGCTGTAAAGCGGGTGTGTTGCCGACAGACTACCTGAAGCCCATTGCTGAAGAAGAGAGGAGAATAGAGGCTGAGGAGAAAAAGAAACGTGAAGAACTCGAGCGGATCGCCAAAGAGCTTGCAGAAGGTAGTCCCTCGGTTTAATTCACGCGTCCCAGGCGCAGGCTTGCGGGCGGACTGCAGCGTTCCTAGGAGAGGTTCAGGCTCAGGGCCGGTGGGCTGCAGACCCGCGTGGCTCCATGGAGCAGCGGTTAGTGGAGGGTAAGCGGTGCTTCTGCTCAGCAAGCTCTTCGGAATGTCAGCGTCAGTAGAGGGAGAGGTAACAAAAACACTGTGTGTAATTGCAGCTCAGACTCCTAAGTGCTGTCACTAGCCTGGTGTTAGAGGTCAGTTTCGTCTGTTGCGTCTCTCGCTTGAAGAGGCTGTGCTGGGGTGGTGGACGGGGGTTAGTGCTGCGGCTTTGTTCCAATTCCCTGACGCCCTGTGGCCTTCCTGCTGCAACGTGCTTTCCCTCATCCTTAGGATTGCTTCTTGGGCCCCCTGTGGGTTTCAAACAGAGGGCTGCTCCTCTGCCTTACAGAGGAGCGTGCTCTCTGGCTTGAATTGACCTAGGGTGTTTTAGGTGGTCTTACGGTTAAGAAGAACTTTAAGAAAACTGATTAATAGCTCAGGCTGTTCTTGCTGCAGCTGCACGCTTAGTAACTGTTTCCCTGGGAAACGGTGACATTCGCATTGCCCTAAACAAGACTAATGTTGAACAAACCCCCACAAAATTAAATGAACTACACACACATGAAGTCCAATGTGCAAGTTGGTGAATTGTGTCGCTTCCAAGAGACAGAGCTATTTTGCACAGCTGTTCTACCATTTTAAGTGTGTAGTCACCATTGGTCATGGAGTAAATAGATGGGTCTTTTAGGTGTTTTCTAGTTTAGCTGAATGTTTTTGTATTTTTGGAGATGAAAGGCTGTACTACATTGTTGTTACTCCACTTAATGGAATTCTGTGATTATTTCTTTAGAATGTTTAGTCATGCAGATGACCCAGTCTACTTTCCCAGCAGTGGTTTTGGTCTGCTTTTCCAGTTAGAAAAGCAATTGTTAAAACTTCCTCCAGTGCAGTGTAGTTGTTGAAGGTTGCTCTTGAAAGGTGGCTAACTGGATGTGTCTGCAACAATAGCTTTTTCTGGGCTTATTTGATTATTCAGAATTCAGTTCAGAAAACTCTCACTTACTAAGGAGTAAGCCAAGAAAGTGCCCTTGCCCCAGAGCGATGAAATGCACTTCTGTTGAATAAGCAGAAGCAGGAATCATCAAAACTGACTAGAAAGAAATGACATACTTAAAGGTTGCTTTTGATCCCGCTAATGCTTTGCATATTTTAGCGCTGCCTGACGGTGACTAGTCTTCCTAACTCTGTTTGTTTTTAATTCCCTTCCAGCAAGTGAAGATTCCATACTGAAATGAACGGAAGGTTGGATCTTCCCTGCACACATGGAAATACGTGGCTAGGCTCTGAACTGTTCGGTGGTTAGTGGACTCTGCATGCTATTCTATCAATAAAGTACTTACAACACTTCAGCTGGTATTTTTTGAGTGAATTGCACAGAACAGCAGCAGAAGTACTTGAAGAATGTGACGGGAAGCGTTTGTCACAAGCTGGCCATTGCTGTGGGTGAAACACCCCGTTGTATTCCTGCAGCAACAGCCAGTCACTACACCTGTTACTCGTCCGTAATGTTTGTGATCAGAAAACACAGACAATTTAATATATATGGGCAGGTGGGGGAGGCGGCTGGCATGGCACTGTTATGGCTTGACCAGGGAGTTGCTGGCCTCTCTTTTCGGCTATTTTATCACAGTGGATTATTGCACAATTCTTGGATGTGACAGCACAGTCAGATTTGATTGTGACTTGTCAAACCTCGCTGAGATCTGAGGAATTGGTGCCGACTCACTAGGCAGTTGTTTGTGAACACACACCTGTTCAGATTTAACAAATGGTCAACTGTTCCCTGAAACTAAGAACAAGTTACAGCCAAATTGTAGTCCGTCTCTTTTTAGAAGAAGTGACTGGCTGTGCAGGTGACTGATGCTTACAGAATTAGTGGCCTTTAATGTGAAATTAAGTCTGCTTTTAGCATGTAAACTGCTAAGGTGCCTCCTCAGCTGTACAAACCTCATATGTGCCAGAAGAAGGTAAAAGCCTATCCTTGTTTTTTCTCACTGTAAGTAATACTAGTAACTCAAAAGTTCAGGGGGTCTGGTTTCCTATTTGGACAGTGGCTAGCTTTCTTCTGACATGGCAGGTTAGACAGCTGAAGCAGTCATTTCAGACCTAAATCTCTCTAAATGATAGCAGTCTTTTAGGAAATACTGTCATGCGTTTTATTAAACTAATTGCTGTTAATTAGATGTACAGTCTTTTCATGAAAGTAAAGATCCAGACTGCCGATTAGTTTAAAATGCTGTTTCTGTAAAATAAAAACAACGCATCGTATGCTGACCTCTCAGGATAACAGGAAGTGTTGTGTACTTAAAAGCCAATATTCTTCCAAAAGTCTGTATTTTCAGGAGCTGCAAATTAGATCTTAATTACCAGAAAAAAAATTTTTTTTTTGTTAATTTTAAAGCACTGGTGCTCAGCCCGTATCTGCGGTACCAGTCTGTAAGCTGCTAAATGGCCATGTGAAATAAGCGCTACTGAAAAACCCCTGAAACTCAACACCTGGGATTCAGCTGTGACTCGGTGCTTGAGCGAAATGTGATTGTAACAGGATGCTCTTTTACTTGAAGCTGAAATGCCTTTAGTGCTGTTCTGTTAAGGGCTGGCTGTAGAGCTAGGTGCTGCTTTTATCTTTGGGTTGCTGGAGCTGGACCCAGTTGCTGCAGCAGCCGGGGCCTGCTGGTCTCCCAGAGGGCTGAATGTGCTCGCCTTCACCTGCTCCTACTCTCCCACCTTGCTCAAGTGTGGGACGTGTGAGAGAGGGTGAGTTGCATCCCTCGCCTCATTTTACTGCCACCGTGGTGGTTGTTTTTGCCAGCATGGATTTCGTTGCCTCCAAGGGCAGCATGGATGCTCCCAGCAGGGCAGAGCCTGTCTGTCCTGGTCAGTAAAACGCAGCGCATTTTGCAGAGCGCAGTCCCAGCCTGTGCAGTGGGGTAGGAGGTCTCTTCAGACAGCAATAGAATCTTACCAGAATCCAGCATCTTCTGTGCTCTCTCCAAGGTTTTCTTACAGAAGATCTGGAGTTGCTAGGACAAAGCTGCTCTGCTGAGTGCCAAGGCATGCAACCCATCTACCTGGAGGGCAGAGGTGGGATCCATACCCCACCTGTGGTGATCAATACCATCTCTTCCTTCAAAGAGCTGAACAGAGGTGGTTACTGCTGTCCTGCCTCTCTGGGAGGAGAGCACCGCTTCCCAGTCTCAGCCGGAGTCAGACCATAGCCAGCTGGGAAAAGGCAGTGAGCACTTCTCCCAGATCCGTGAGGGGTAGCTGAAGACAGGACGACAGTCACCACTCTCACTGGCAGCTTTTCCCTTGCTCTCTGCAGGAGCTGCCACCCTCACAGCTCTGCCAGCAGCAGAGACCCAGTATGTGCTCCCACAACCCTGGCAGTGCCAGGGCGGGCACCTCTACTCGGGGCCCACCACCAGTAGCAGCAGCAGCAGGCCAGGCTCCGGCAGAGGCAACAACTGAAGGGCACCCACATGCTCTTCTTCAGTAGCAGAGCAAAGAGGTCCTGTCTCGAGTAAGCTTGTCCTACCCCTTCCATCTGGCGCAGCAGATGATGGCCAAGCCGCAGTGTTAAAAGCCCCTTGCCAGCTCCCCACTCAGGCAAGACCCTTCCCCTGCACGGAGGGAAAATTTGCTCTGCACCCCTGAGCTCCGCTCTCAGAAACCTCCTTTGCCAGTTCCCCCTGCCTTCAAAAGCAAGAATGGAGGTCTGTGTGCATGACCTCCTTTGGTGAGGCACTTACAGAACAGGCCCCGCTCTCGTCTCCCGCTGGACCTCAGAGCTGCCTCAAGCCAGAGGTGAAAACACTTCCCTGGGCTACGGCAAATATGCCAGAAGCAGAGCTAGATTACTCTACAGCACTCAACGGGGAGCTGATCGGCCAGGAGACCTCTCCTGAAATTGTGTTGCAATGACAACACTTTTCTCTCAGGCCTATGAAAATGCTGGAAAAATCTATTTCTTGGCCCTTCCCTTCTCCACGCCCAAGAAGGCTGGGCAGCCAGCTCAGCTGCCAAGGGGGACCACAGCCGGTAGGAACCGTGCCAGGTTTCACCTGCAGCTGCCTGGCTGATACCCCCAGTGGGCAGCAAATGGCAAGCGGTGTGCTTGCAATGGTGCAACAAGATGTAGAAATATCTGTTAGTCAGGGATTGCTGGCCGGAAACGACCGTGGTCCGAATCTTTTGGCAAAATGGCTATGTGGTTAAATGGTACCATTCTGGGGGGGGGAAATAAAAAATTATTCATTTCATCACCTGGCCCGCATAGCACGAGAAAGTCAACGTTCCCCTCAGACACTCAGTGTGTGTCAGGCAGTGTGAGCGAGAGCCACAGCAAGGGGAAGAAGGGAAGGGCAGGCTGCCTGGTGCTCGGGGCTGTACCTGCTGTGGCCGGACATCTCATCACAGTGTCTCCCCACGTGTGGGGAGGGAAGGGTTTCCTCGCACCAGCTGCCCCTCTCTGGGGACTGCGCTGTGCCATTGATGCTTTCCCTGGATGAGCCAGCGTGGGAGACGAGGGGTCAGGGCCTGTCCCAGGGTACCGTGGGTGAATGACGAGAGCTACCCTGCACTTCACTGTTGGATAATCTCAGACCACAGCTGTACGTTGTCTCGCCAGTCCTTTCACGCCACGCTGCACCTCCTCTCAGCTCCACCAGTGCAGACATGCTGCTTGCCTGTGGACCTGCACTTCTGCCTTCTGCCACAGGTCTTTCCTCTTGAAGAAGCTGCCGAAGACTGACCAGCAGGGATGCCACTTTGGTGCAGATGACAGGCAACAACTCCACAGCCCCCGAGACCAAGCTGCAGGGAAAAAGTTCTACCTACAGACTGTATCCTGTCTGAAACAGATACAGCGCAAGGGCAAAACAAAGGGGAAATTAAAGGTCTTTTGGCTTGCTCTTTCTCTGATTGTCCTCTGATTGTTGCATGTGGCTTCCCACCGCAACACGAGAGGCCATCAGCTGCAGAGCAGCTAGGACACGCGACCACAGACCTACGGAAATCGTCCAACAAATGGCCTCGGGCGGCAGAGCTGTGTGCTCTGCCTGGGGCCGCCGAGGTGCCACGGGCAGGCAGGGGAGGGGCAGGAGGGGGATGCAGGAGCTGGTGGGGGACGCAAGGGGGACGTTTGCCCTGTCCCCACCGGCGGGGCTCACACAGGTGAGGTCCTCCCGCGCTGCCCCAGCACCATTGTTGCAATGTGGAGCAGGGCCTCAGCGAGTTTGACCTTGATAATCTGTCCCTGTGCCCCTGATTGAGAAAGTAACAACTAAGAGGACATCCGTTGACCCAAAGAAGGAAGGTATCCGGCTCGTGCAGGACATGTGAACAGTAGAACTCACCAATCAAGTTATGAACAAAGCCACATGCAACTAAGGCAGTACCGTATCAGAATGCTTCTGATTGCGCGTGAACAACAGCAAGTTGTACATAAGGGCAACTTTTTAAATAATAAAGGTCTGTGGCTAGCACCTGGCCAGAGTTTGTGCCTTTCATCTCCACACTGCAAAAGGGACGCTCGGAGACCCTCCTGCTCCCATGGAGATGGGCCACCCTGGAGAAACAGCCTCCTCTGCAGGCACCCTACCCTGCACACCAGCAGACACCCCTCTGCACACACACATGGTGCCCCTTGGGAAGGCAGGGCAGCGTGCTGAGCTTGGTGCTGAGACCCCAGGGCAGAGCCACCCGCTGCCCTTGACCCCACTAGCACCTCGCAGCGCCCAGCATCGGGTGCACAGCGCAGGAAGATTAGCCTCCTGGCTTTAGTTCACCGAAAATGACTGAGGACATCGGGGGCTTTTCTCAGCATTGAAGTGTACAGTGGCTTGTGGTGGTCTTTAAAGGCCCGTTGCTCACCACTCCACAACACGACAACCTTGTGGCATTTTTCCCGCTGAAAAAAATAACTTGTTTGACTTTGTATGGTGTATGATTGTTGGGGTTGACGTAGCTTGAGAATTAGCACGACTAGGCTGCTGAAGCAAAACAGTTCGCATAACTGGACAGGCCACTGGAAAGGGCAGCTAAGAATATCAATTGAGAAAGTTCTGATAGTGCACGTGGTGTGGGTTAGCAAAAACAAGATGTGTTCAAGGACGTGGAGGCGGTCTGTTGCTATTAGCATTAGTGCATAGTTACCAATCATAGGGGAATCTGGCGCGTGTGAACAGCGCGTGATTTATGTCTGTAGCCTGTCCGAATAAGCGTGATCGCGTGT